GGCTCTGCCGCCTGTGGCAAAGCTGTCACGCTGCTGTGCCTAGCGAGACTGTACCCAACGCACAGACGGGGCTTCTCGTGGTGGCCCCCAGGCTGGCATTTGTCCCTGCACCCTGGCAGGGTAGTGGTCAGAGCCGCTCTCTGGTGCAGGACGCTGCTCATTATGAAAACGAACCCTTCACTGGGCCCAGTTTCACCTCTGCTCCAGCGACGGTGAGCTTGAATAAGGGAGTTTACCCACGCTCAAATGAAAGATAAAGAATTTGGCCCTTGGGTGGATGAACTGTCCTTCAGGTTGGCTCAAATCCTGCCACGTCTAACAGGCAGGTTTCTTTTATGGAAGAAAAGTTGAGTTTTCAAACTTAATTTAAAAAGAAAAAGAAAAAAGTGCCCTGGCTGCTTAAAGCAGCACTCCTTTCAGCACAATCCCTGCTCTGGGAGGATGCCTGCAGCAGGGTCATCTCACCTAACTTTAAATGCCTGCAGGGCAGCTGTCTGCCTGAGCGCGCTCCAGCATCCCAGCCCACGCTCCCTTCACTGAGCAGAGAAAATGGAGCTTTCAGGACACAACGCAACTGACCTATTTTAGATACCTACTTCAGGATGAGATGAATCACCCCCAGCAGCGCCTGCTTCTCTCTGTTGACTATAAAGGGAGTCTAGCTGATATACCTCTGGCCAGGTAAATCCCATCCTTCATGCTGAATACAAGCAGAAAGAAAGGCACAAAAATGTTCAGAATACTACTAATTCATAACATTAACACCACGTTGCGTATGAAGCATTTAAAAATCTACAGAGCGGAAGAAGCACTCACTGCGATTAGCATTAATATGAAGCTGTAAAGATTCTGATAACACAAGTAAATTAATATCTGAGCAGCAGGTCCCTAGAGTAATTGCACGGTTGTTACAAAGGGAAGTTGCAGAAAATTACCATTTGCAAGGCTGCAGCAAACGTAAAGATAATTTCTTGATGTAGATCAGTGCAGGGATCTGAAGGCTCGAAACATCCAAGGTTCAATTAGCACAGATGAACAACTACAGGCAGAAAAAGATTGAAGAGGGCGACTGACTGCAGACAAGTGAGCAAGACGCCTGTAGTTCAACCTAGGTTCATATGAGATGCATGAAGAACAGAAATGTTCCAACAGAGAATTAAAGAAAATACGAGTCAAACACGGTCATAGTAGCAACTTAACGTTTGCTTGCCTGCCTTATGTACGGATAACCGGCCCATTTAGAAATGACTAACAGGCATGAGAGGAGATGGTAAAAAGGTGAATGCACACAGCAATGCCTACAGAGGTTACCAGTGTCTGCAAAGGAGAACCATTCTCTTCACTCACTGCATTCAAGGGCTGGTCAGCTAGCCCCTGCTCTTTGCTCCCAGACATGCAGTGCGATGCGAGCTGCCAACCAAACTACCCAAGGGAAGAGTCTGCTTGACAAATCCAGTGTAGTTCATTCATGCGACTCAGCAAAGGTGCATGAGTGGTGTCTGCAAGCGGTGGGCCTGGGGATGGATGGAGAGGCAGCCCAGCGTAGGCAGTGACGAACAGCCTTGCTCTGGCGGACCAAGAGTAGGGAAGAGCCACTGGAAGAGGCCTTTGGGAAGGGCAGATCTTCAAAGCTGCCCTCTCCATGCCCTGGCAGGGTGGATGTCAGATCAATGTCCAAGCACTCCACAGTACAAAACAAAAGGACTACAGTCTCACTGTAAAATGCTCAAATGATAACCTTGCCAATGCAGCAGCAGATTCTCGGGACAACAAAGTTAAAATACTTTAATAGTGGTATCTCGTGCAAAATGAATAAAGGATTCAATGAAAGGATTGAAATTAAAAGCTTAAGTATTCCAGCTACGCTACTTGATCTAATGGATGACACTGTCTCTGCCTAAAAGCCTTGTCCCAAGGCTTGTCCCTTAACACCTCCATGTTCAGAGCAATTTATCGGTGTCTGAACATGACCACCAGCAAGCCCATTAACTGAATTAGTCTGGATGAAATTTAATTGCAAGTGTTGTAGTTTAAGGATGGCATTTTCAAATTTGTGTAAAAGAATTGAAGAGAACAAAATCCCATCAGTTCTCAAATGATTTGCATTCTTGGCTTTCCCCAATATATCTGAAATCCAACACTGTCAGTTTTGCCAGTACTAACAGGACAGAAATTACAATCAAAACATTCATAACTAAGTTACATATACAACTGTATCAGCCCTGTACCTATTATCCATTCCTCTGTAATCCAAGGTGTCATGGCTTGAGATTCAAGAAAACCTAGTTTTGTAGCCAAACTGGACTAAACAACATGTGTGATTTTCAGAAAATACTCTTCTAATATTCATACGAAGAGACACAGTTTGTATTTTAGTATTTTGGAAATAAATCCTACTACATCTACTGGTCATCAACTACTATTTCCTTGATTGGCCTAAGCACTACGCTGGACTGTATGGTGCCATCAGCTTCAAGAACTGTAAATTTATAGCAGACTCCTCTTGGCTGCTTTAAAAGTGTGGACAGATAATGGTCAATTTTCTCAAGCACAACCACCGCTGGAACTTAAAAGTCAGCTTTTATGATTTCAGCAAAAGACGGCAACATGCATGCATGGAAGAGCAAGGACAGAGTTGGCTTCCAGGCCAGATGGAGTCTGGCACAGCTCTGTGTGATAACCTTTCCCGTGTCACCAGAGTGGGTGACACCAAGGTCAGGACAGGACACTGAGAAGGTGGCTGTAAGAGGGTGTTAGGAGCCAAATGATCATCCAAGCCTTGAATCCAGAGGATCCTCATGCTGGTTCTGTCATGTTTAGACAACACATCTGTTCTCTCTAACATACTTTAAAAACCTGCTTGTTTTGAAAAACAAGACACTTCATAACTTTTCCTAACATTTTAAGATGCAAAACAGTATCTAGCTATAAAGTCATCTACCCTAGGAAGATTTAAAAAATCTGACGTAATTATCATCTCCTAAATATCCTGGGCTGATTTGCTTAAGAATAACATTACAGGGCTGTAACAAGGGTCTTCCATTTCTAAATTCCTACTTACATTTGCACTGTTTAAGCTTCCAAAGATTCTCTTTCCTGATACAGAAGACAGAACAGCTGCAGCCTTGACTTTCCAACAGATGAGAGAGGCAGTTTTGCTAAAACACAGTATTCATTTAAACCGTCATTGTGCATGGTTTCCTTCTTTTGCAAGAGGATTATGTGCTCTTTCCAACTGGAGGGTTTGGATACAGGTGGTGGAGGGGAGTGTGCAGTTTATATATTCACCCATTTTTCAACTCATTCCATTAGTGGAGAGAGAGTAATGGTATTTATGATACACCTCCTATAGCACTTTTTTTTTTTTTACTTTTCCAGACCAGTCCTGTTGTGCAGGTAAGTTACGGCTCCATTATCATACATGTAGAGAAGAAAGAAGCATGATTTTTACCGTATGAGAGCAAGCCTGTCTTTTTCAGATGGATGATCATCAAGCCACTGGGAGTAGCGGGCAATGGACCACTCAGCCCTCTGATACAGAGAAACACAAACACACACGGATTATACATAAATGTGAAAAAGGAAACACACACACCAATTTCAGAATCAAAGATGACATAAATGAAGGCCATATGAGGCTCTCTGCCGTCAAATACTGCCGTGATATAGAATGAGTTAAGGAATCAGAGACAATCAACAGAAACCTCCCAATATGTTATTTGGGAGCTCAGAGATGAACTCCTGCATCAGCTGTTTGCCCAGTTCTGACAGGGGTTTGAATCTAGATTTCCTGCATCTTATATGAGCAGGATCGAGGCAATTTGCAGTCTGGGATAAGACCTGCAATTTCTTTTATGAGCTGACAGAATATTAAAGAATTGAGAGGCTACTTAAAATCAGGTTATTGTCATCCTACAGTTAATTAATCAAAATATGAAGTCAATGACCATAACACCTTTGCCACAATAAAAGCAAAAGCCAACAAACCATATAAAGTATGAGCTTCAATGCTTTTTAACTAAAATAAATAGGGCAAACTACAATGTTCATTCCTCCTTAAGACATCTCAAAAGAAAACACAGGTTGATCTCATTACCTGGAAGGGTGATTTTAACTCTGATGGTGCTCTTGTAAACAAGAACTGAAGAATAATGCTGAATGGAATAACCTCTCCCAGAGCTGGGCTACTGGCAATATGCTCACTAGTCTGGAACAGCAGTGGTCTGGAAAAATGTAACAATATACTTGTAAAAGGAAGAAAAAGCTTAGCTTATGCATTAGAAAAATGCCTATATGGTGGCAATATTGCGTTAAGATAATCTGATTTTTTTTCACTAGTCTGCATCTTAGGTTTTCAACACAGGTTCAGTTTGTAAAAGTTTACAGAAGTTGCCTATTGTAATTAAACAACACAGGTCTGTAAATATTATATTTCAGTGAAAAGACTTAAGGAAACTATAGAACTCACTGTCATACAAAAAAGCAACACAAAAAGGTACAGTTTGGCCAAACATTTGCATGATCTATATGACAAAATCATAGTTATACTCTGCATAAAGTATAAAAGAACTTTAATCTATTTCTAATTTGCAGGTGGGTGTTGCCAAAAAACCTCTTGGTTCAGGCAGAACTAACACGAGGTAATAAATCAGTTTTGAAATACAGTTTGGTCATACTGCCAATTGCTAGGTCTTGCAATGGCAACTCACCTGAATGACCTCAGCTGTCTGTAAGATTTTCCTAGGTCAGAGACTCGCCGACACAGTGGTGCTACTGCTAACTCCATCTATAAACATAAACATTTTAATTTGAATTAGATTGTCCCAAAATATAAAATTTGGTATTGAAATAGCCTGCCTTTAAGCAATACTCCAGACTTGTAGACCAAGTTATCAAATTCTTGCTGGTGGCTGCAATTGAGACAAGAAGCTATCTTTTCCTTTCATACTCCACTGCCCAAACTAAGACTTTTGCCTTATTCTTGGCAACACAGTAAGCATCCCTTGACAAACAATGGCGACAGTCCATGGCTAAGCACAGGAAGGGTCTCCTGAGCTTTCTGAGATTGAAGCTTTGTTTCTTGCAGCAGACTAATTTTGTTAGTAATGAGTTTCCTGATGAAGCATTTATGCCAACATCCCCAAAATCTGATCTCAGTCTGGGAAGAAAGCAAATCTAGGCAGGTCTCCACAAACCACTTCTGAAGTAGTGAAAATGCATACCCATTTCAGCTAGGCACCCTTTCCTTTGGCAAAGGACAAGGTTAAGGTGATTCCTTCTTGAATACTCAGCCCCAAATTCTGAGGCACAAAACCTGTGCCAATTAGATAGAAGGCAGCTAGGAACTATTGCCACAGGGTCATACGGAATCACAGGCAAGACAGCATCAGTAACATTACTTTCATACTCGTTTTCATACTGTTCAGTCTCTGAGTTACAGCAGATAATAACAAACATTTTTAAAACAGTTTGTTTTTTAAGCACTACGTAGTTCACCTGCCTTTTTGAACAAGAGCCAGGCTCTGTTCGGTTTTTACATCATTCATGTGAGACTAAATTCTGTCACAGGCTCTTCGTTAACAGTGAGGACTCAGAAGTGAGAAAGAAGAATTTCACTTCCAGATTGCAGACTGAACATGAACATTACATGGCAGAATTTCAGTTAATATGTGCACTAACACAAACACCATCAATCAAAAAAACCCATAGGTAAAGTAATTTTATCCAGGTATAAATTAAGTCTTTATTTTTTGTATTCCTGAAGTGTCAGTCATCAGAGGGATGCAATCTTTATTCTCCACGTATGTTTTTTAAAATCCTCAACTTGAAAGACTGTTCAGACTTTGATTTCCACGTAATGCATAATTGAGCTAAGTTTCAAAGGACAAGAGTTAAAATAAATAACAAGATCAAAAACACCATACAAGTAGCTTCCCATTTAAGTAACATTGCTGAACAAGTTTCAAAGTGTTTGTGATAAAACAATCTCTATTGTTTTATCATGATGATCAGGAAATGCTATTTACAGTGAAGTCTTTAATACTATTATTCTTTCCAGCTGCAGCATTTCAGCATTTCCTCAGACAGAGCTGGCTGCTGGGCCGTGAAGCCAGTAACTATGCTGGGGTTCCAGCACAAACAAGAAAGATGGTGTGGTGAACTACGATGCCATAATTCATCTAAAACCAGAAGAAATTAAATTAGCTATTAATGCAAATCAAGGCCATACACTTCAGGCAGCTATCTTAAACAGCAGGTGGCAGGATGGGAGTCATCTCACCTACTTCTCAACATCTACAGGTTCTCTTCATACTCAATGGAGAGAAATCGCCAGTCCTGGAGTGTGATGCATCTTTCCCCGAGGCAGACATCTAAAACAGGTCAGGTGGGTCATGTTGTAGGAGTGTCCACCTACATGACACTGGATCAGGCAAAGGTGGGAAAACCAAAGGGCTTCACTCATGCACCTACACATCCTCTATAGGCAAGGAGAGGAGGGCACCTCTGAAAGGCGATGGGGAAAGCCCCACAGAGCTAGCCTGCAGGCAGTGCAAAGCCACTCCCTGAGCCTAGAAACCTGGGAGTACATGCCTCACATCAAGCACTTCCAGGCCACTTGAAATCTACACTCTGTGTTGAGGACAAACTCGCAGAAGCAGAAAGTGTATCCAGGAAGTGGAAATAAGGATCTTTGTCTTCTGCTTTCAGATGAATGCTCCAGTCCTGGGCAACAGCCAGGCTCCCTCCTGCCTGCTGCCCTTCCAGCCCCCCAATCTTCTAGTCTAGGCTACTAACTGGCCCTTTTCCTACATCTGGGTGGGACCCCTGCCCTGTGCCCCCTAACCCTCACAGCCTGAGGGCTAGGTCACCTCTTCCGCACGCAGGCACAAAGGGTACCTGTTTCTTCAGCTGAAGAGCAAGTACAGCCCAGCTCTGCAGTTCCTGAGCAAGCAGGCTGACCACCAGACAGTGCGGAAGGCATGCCGTGGAAGCCAACTTCCCCACCCTTGAGGAGGAGCCATCAGCCGCTGCGCTGTGTGTGAACTGGGCAGCACAAGGGCGTGAGGTTGGGTGCACGCTCCCCAGAGGGAGAACCCAGGCAGGTTCTCCCTGGGCAGGTTCTCCGGCAGGGAGGTGCTCCAGCTCCAAACCGCGATGAAGCTTAGAGCAAGTTCAGCATGTTGTTTCCCCAGGTCCCTCGGGATACTTCTGAGCACGTATGGGAGCCAAGAGGCTGGTCTGCTGCACGGGATCAGCAGCAAGTGGCTGAAGAGAGGAGCTAATTAAGCAGGCTTTGCTGCACCACGATACAAGAACCCTACGGACTGTGAAAAACAAATGGGAGCAAGACTGATTTTTTTCAGAGCTTCTCTTCAGGCATCAATATTGGCTAGGAAGTAACTGATACACTGCAGGAGCCCGTGTCCCAGCTCTGGTGAGAGCCGCAGGCTTGTAGCTGTGAAGAACCAGGGAGAAGATAATTGGTTTAGGTGCTTTAGAGAATTTGATAGCAGGCAACAAACTGCCCCTCTGACTTGTGGAAACAGAGATGCACAGATCAAACTGTACTCATGAGGGGAAAGGAATCCCAGCACAGCGAACTATAATTTTGCTTAATAAGTTTTAAATGATTGTTTCACTCCTGAAACATAATATGATGTAATGAGATGTAAATTAGACTTTCTACAGCTTGATCAATTCCTTATCAAAACAAATTTAAATTATTTCTCTTGAACATACTTGGCAGTTTCCATAAATCAACTTTTTTAGTCTTAAGTACTAATGAATAAAATTTACTTTGGAAAATTCTGTTACTTCATCTTCAACCTTTATTCACTGTAGGAAATTATTAGTATTGCTCAAACTAGATAGATTTAATGGCAGCAGATGGTTGATTCGTGAAGTACTAGTTGCCAAAGAAGAAAATTGTTTTTAAGCTTTGCAGCATACTATACCATCTCAAATTGACTCATGAAGAGTGGGAATGAGTGAAAACTAATGTGGTAAAAATGTACATAAACCACAGAAACTTTTTTTTTTTTAATTTACAGCACTAGTCTGCTATGTGTTATAACCCAACTTCTCCAATAAAAACTATATTTCACATAACAACTAAGATTGTTTTCTTCTCTTGAATTTTAGCTCTTTGTCTGAGCCCAGCGATGCAGTGAGGTGCTACAGCATCCTTCTGCTGTTAGCATTCATTTCTGCAGGCCCACTGTGCGGGGTTGTGTGTCTCCACCGAGCGTCGAGCCGGCCGGCACTGCTGGCCCAAGAGGAGGTGCTGAGAAGGAACCATTCGGCTGGGAACAGCTGCTGTTTTTAAGGCGCTGGAATTGGGCAGAGGATAGAGCCTACATCACTTCTCGGTTTTGCTTCCTGTCATCACCTGAAGCTGCATCAACTGTTGATTCATTTTACTGTAGCAGCTTTTGCTATGATACACAGCTTAGTTTCCAAAGCATGTTGGTGAGCTTTTACAGGTCGGGTGATGTTTTTGGCTGACTGCAAGCCAGTGTTTATATGGCATGTGCAAGGCCTTTCATACAGCCACGTCCTACGAGCTTCACATATGTACAGATGAGCAGTATTTTTTGTTCCTTTTCCAAATTTCTCTCCCAGACTGTAAATTTGAAAATTCAGATGTCCAGGTTAAATTCAGTGACAAATCTGGTGTCTAAGGAGTAATTTGCAACCACAGAGGCTTCATTGACTAATGTGAGATAATGATTAGCACAGGATCCAAGAAAAGTAGTTGGAAGTGCACGTGCTGGCTGGAAAAGAAGGGACAGCTAGAACAGAAAAAGGCCTTATGACTCTGCATCGCTTCTTCTAACTTTGTTCAAAACCTATTGCTTTTCCATGATTTAGTCATGTTATTTTGCTATGCTTCGCAGAACACAGTGGCAGGCTCCTGCCCAGTATATGCTTCTTCTCAATGATTCTTGCTCTCTAAGCCTAAAAAAGCTATATTATCTTTTCTTCTTATATGACCCTGCCATAGCCCATGGCTAGGTGATCAATTATCTGTTGAACTATTCACTGGCTAGTCATATTGTAAAAAATACATCACATGGCTGGCTTCTCTAATTGGATTATGTTCAGCAACCCAAGGGTGAAGTTAATTCGTAGTCCAGATACAGATAATGCATATATATTGAAGAGCACTTTGAAAAACCCCATAGCGAAGCTATTGTTTAGTGCCTATTGTGGTATTTTCAAGATCTCTCATTACTAAACAGCTGTTTTTTCAGTTGGAAAATCTTAACATTAAATTTTTAGCAATTATATTTCCTCCTGGCCAAGATGAATTCCAAGTTTTTAAATATTAACTCAAAATGCTTTTCTCTAGCCATTCACCAGGAGAGAATGCTTTAACAAGCAAGGGAGCAGAAGAGCTCGGAACTATTACATGAAAGAAGCTGGCCTTGAAGGGATGTGGAATTTGATTTCTCCCCCATGCACCAATTCCAAAATGGCTGATGTTTAAGTAAATCCTTCAGCTGTAATACCTCCAAAATAACACACATCAGAAAATAATTTCCCCCTTCCCGTAAGATAGTTAGCATTAAACGTTAAATGCATTTTAGCTTTAGTAGTTTCCATCCTTATGCCTAAACCTGTGATTACAGCATCCTGCTTCTCTGATTTCTCAGCAAGAAACTAGAAACTAAATTTTTTAGGGAAAATGATAAAAAGCATTTTTACACTTGTATCATCACGTTTGATCAAATGAGCAAATCTGTTTACATTTTTAAAAATCCAAATGCCTAATATTCTTGTTTT